GACTGCATCACAGAACAGTTGATAGAAGAGACAATTTATATTAGTACCTGCTAGGCTCAAGAGGAAGAATCAGCACTACACAGTAAGAGTAGGTACAAAGGCACATTTCCGGAATAAAAAAAAGGGCTGCCTTATCACTGTGATGGTTGCTGGGCTGCAGGTTTTAGCAGTTCTGTACCACTTTTGGAGTGTGCTGCCAAAGGAGTCTGCCTTTGTGTCTTTTCCAGGACATCTATCTTTATACCTTCTCCAACAGCGTGTGTTTCTTCATTCCCTGCTTCTGCATGCCACAGACTTGCAACTACCAGGGAAAACTGATAAAAAGTAAAATTTATCCTTTTGCCTTATTGTTGTCTTTTGGGGAATACCTTTAATGGATGTTCCAAACGAAATCACAGGAGATGGGAGGTTTAAGGGAATAGCAAAAATGGGTAACTAGCAAGAATACCTATTTGACAGTGCTGCAACAAAGAAATAAGAAAATCTCCTCGTGTGCTCCAGGAAGTCCCTGTCTCTCAATGCAGCCAACAAAAGTCACAGCTCACCAAGCAGACACATAGTGTTGCTACTGACGGGCTGCTGGGACAACCTCAGACATATCTGAAACCAGAAACAGTTTTACCTCCTACAGGCTTCTAAGAACAGCACACAATTTGTTTTGTAGATGAACTTCAAGTTAAAAGCAAAAACATATTGCTTTAGACTTGAAAACCCACACAACAAGCTAACAGTGGCTCTGGTATAAAATTGTCTGAGAGCCGAAACAGTAGATTACCTTTTGTATGTCAGTATTTTAGAAATACTGGTGACTTTTTCTATTTTGAATTCATGTTGTCCTATTTGCATTGGGTTTATTTTGCATTATGTCTAAGGAGTCTGCTCAAGTACTTTTTGGTTTCTTAGAGTATCAGCTCCTCCCTCCTTTCTTTTGCCTACTACTGTCAATGCATGCTTTTAAAATAAACCAACCATTTAAAAACAGAAATTCTTTGTTCCTTGCCTGTGGGCAGTCAGCCAAGATTCAAGATTTTGAGAGGGGAAATGACTTGGCAAGGTTTGTGAAGAAAATTAAGGCAAGCAGATATCAATAGAGACAGTATGTTATATTTGCTGAAGTTCCCTTCCTCCCACTGGGTCCATCTGGGCCCCAAAATGTGTCTATATCTCTGCATTAGCTTCTTGGGGGCAAAAGCAAAAAGATATTTCAGCTTCTTTTCCCCCAGGACACTTTATTTTCTCTTTATGCTATATTGCTGCCTTTCAGGTCACAGTAGGACCCTCACTACTAAGAGTCAGTTATGACAGAGCATAAGGCACCTTCTTGGTCTCTCATTTCCCAGTAAAATTGTCACAATTTTTTAATTGCAGTTGAACATTAGGCTATGACAAGTCCTCCCCTGCAAACTCCTAACTAGTACCTCCACTCCGTTGTGAAATTTCACAGCTGTCTTTTTATCACTCTTTCCAAAGCCCCTGGGACTTCTTAACTTCCTTCTGAGATGATAATGTTTAGCTAATTTTAACTAGTTTTACAGAGAGCCAAGCCTGCAGGATGATGAATGTAGGCTACAGATAAGAGAGTGATTTTCACTGAGCATTCTAAAGAGACCTAAAAGGAAGGCGGGTGTCATTAAAGAGAACTAAGAGGGGAGGGGAAGGGAAAGGGGGAGACAACTAACAAAGTGACAGCTGCAGTGGGGGAGTGACTGCCACTGCTCATACATGGACACACAGTGAAGCATCCACACAAACACAATTCCTGTAGAACGGCAACAAAAAAATACTTTTATCACAGGTGAGAGAATAATTTACCTTGCCTAGTTTTCTTTCAAGAAACCTGTAGAATTCAAATTGTGTATGGATTTGTCTATCAAAATTATGTTTCTATGGCAAAACTGCAAAACAGACAAGGCTTTGGATTCACACTCCTTCCCAGGAGACTGATCCAGTTGAAGATTTTAGAAAAATTAACACTGGAGGAAATGTTAAAGACAGATAAATCCTTTTCTTTTACATCTTTTATTATTTCTAGATTGACTTGTCAGTTCATCTTAGCATAGGGTTTTGACAGACATTAGTTAACCATAACACTACATTGGTGTGTACTGCAAATTATTCTGTTCTTAAAACTAAGTAGAAGGTACCCAAAAATTTAACTGGATTATTTATCTCATGGTAGCCTCTTATTTCTTCAATATTGGTGAAGAAACCAATTTCAGTGGAATAACTTTTAAGTCCTCTTGTCTAGGCCTCTAGTCCAGGACCTGTTTTATGTAGGCAAAGTACTGATTCAGTTCTGAGCAATCCAAAATTAATCTTTTAAACTACATAGGCAAATGCTAATATACATATTTTTTTGTAAAGTTGACAATCACAAAAGAAAATATGAGACTATTAATAATGTTCAGTTGAGGAAACCCTGCCCATTTAATGGCACAGGTTTCAATTACAGGTGAAAGAAGTTGTCAAATAGCAAGTACCATATAAAGTACATTTTAGCAGTAAACTTGTACGAGGACAAAACACATTCACTTGAATGACTGAGCCTCACAGATTTTTGACAGCTACTGGAAAACAGCTATTTTTGACACTTACTAGTCTTCAGATATGGTTGACTACACAGCTGACAATTTAAGCTGACAGCATGCATTTATCCTACTTACAGTCTGGGCAAGATGCAAGAACTAAGTGCCTTTTACTATTCTTGGAAAACGTACAAGTCATCATGAACTCCAGGGGAAATATCTTACTTTTAGCAGTTAAATGACATCCAATCCCACAGCTAAACCACAGTATGGGATTAGCTAACACCAATGCCTCCTTCAAGGAGATAACAGGCAAAAGGAGTCTCTAAAAGTAGAGAATACAAAAGGTTGGGTTTTTTTAAAAAAAGGAAGTAGCTTTATTTCCAATTGTCAAAGCTTTAGGAAAAAGATATATTTGCTAGAACAAAGGAATTCCAGCACAATTGTTTAATTCTCTGGAGCTCTCAAGTACCTGAAGTGAATTATTAAACAGCTATATATTTTAACATATAAAATAACAAAAAGAGGCCAGAATCATTTCGGCTTTATACACACGGGCATCTCCAGCAAGACCGGGAACAAAGATAACAATAAATTTCCATATTTGGTATAAAACTGCAATCACTCCACTTGTGACACTAGAGCAAGATGCTATTCACAATCTAATATCATCTTTGTATTGTCTCCTTTCTTTGGTATTCTCACCAGAGTGAAACAGCAATTCATTACATGTGCTCCAAAATAAACTCCACATTACAATTGGAACAAATCACATGCATGCTTAACTATGATGTTCAGCACATCCATATTCTGAAGGCTCTTTAAAAAAGACACAATTCCTACAAAGCTCACTTTTCACAGGGAAAAAACACCCTCACACACACCAATGAGCCAACCCAGGAGGCAAAATAACAAACAAAAAATCCCAAAACAACAGCAACAAAAAAGATCTGGTTAACCCTATCTGAACTGCTCTAAGGAAATTCCACGTCACAGCACAGAACAAAAATTCTCTCTGCTTGTTTTGTGGCACACAAACACAGAAATTACACCGCACTCTAGCTGTCAGTATCTTTTAGATGACAAGACACATAAAAGAGGATTTACAGAATGCTACCATGTTAGGTTAGGGAACTGTAAAGAAAGTTTATTAATAATGAATGATGAACAGAGTACAGAAATAAGGCAGACGTAATAGTACGTTATAAACATTTACAAAAATATACTTAATGGTAAAATTTAAAGTGCAGTTAAAACATCATCAGATGTTACACTGAAAAGCAATTTTATTATATTGTAAGCAGGAAGCATCCCACAACTCTTGCTGTCAGGAAGTTTCATATGTTATAATCTCCTAAAACTGAGTGTTTCAAACCTTGCAGCTTTCCTTCAATACTGCTTCTTCCTATTTATTTGGTAGTACCGAAGAGACCAATTTCAGTGAAACGTTTACCCGTTGTTTGTATGCAGACTTGTTATTGCCCGAAGATCACATAACCTAACATTATTAAGGATACTGCCTTTGCTTAAACACGAATTAAGTATTATTTTTCCCCAAGTTCCACCTCATCACTGTAATCAAGCTCTGCCTCTTTAGAAGTTGTGTCCTTACTGTACGAGATCTTGCAGAGTCACTGCAGTCACAGTTTAGGACGGGAAGACCACTGCAAACGGTGAAGGAAACCAGGCAACCCGTGTTTCCTCCACCACTTCCTCCCCCTCCAAGGACACTGCATCACAGCCCTGGGACGCGGCTCTCCGGCCGGAGGGATGCCCGGATCACCGCACAACTCACCGCTCCCGAGCCCCGCCGCCGGGGCCCGCAGGGACACCGCAACACCGGCGCTGGGACCGACCCGCGGCGGGAAGGTAGCCAGGAGGAGGACAAACCTGCCCCACAGCAGGGCAGCTCCCGGAGGAGGGGCGGCGCGGCGCGGGCGCTCAGGCGCGGTGCGGGCGCGCCCGGCAGCCGCAGCCGCGCTGCGCCATCCTGCTCACGCACCGATCTGAAGCCACCCTCCTTTCCCCGGGCACACACGGACTGCCGGGCCTCCTCCGCCGCCGCCCTCCCGCACCGCCGCCAGCCCCCCTGCCCGTCCCCAGGCTCGGCTGTCCCGCTGCTGTCCCGGTCCGTGTCCCGGCTCCCGGCCCCGCTCCCGGCGCAGCGCCCCCCGCGGCCGCACCGCGATACCTCCGCGCCCGCACGCGCCGCTTCCGCCCGCGCCGCGCCGCGCGAAGCTCCGCCCCCTGCCCCGTCCCCCGCGCCCGCCGCGCGGGGCCGCTGCCGCCCCCTGGCGGCGTGAGGGGGCAGCGCGGCCGCCTCGGGAACGGGCGCCCTCCCTCGGGATGGTGCCGGGAATTTGCCCTCGTCCGTGCGCCAGGGTGCTGCAACTCGCAGCGGCGCGGGCTGGACCGGCGTCTGGCTTAGGAGGAGAGGCTGTAGCAGCTGGGCCTGTTTAGTCTAGAGAAGACTGAGAGGGGATCTCGTTAATGCATATAAATATCTCAAAGGCAGGTGCCAGGGGGATGTTGCCGGACTCTTTCCAGTGCCCTGTGACAGGACAAGGAGCAATGGCCATAATCTAAAACATGAGAAGTTTCACCTCAATGTGAGGAACAACTTCTTTACATTGAGGGTGGCATTGGAACAAACCACACAGAGAGGTCATGGAGCCTCTCTCTCTGGAGACATTCTAAACCTAGACCTGGATGCATTCCTGCATCACCTGCTCCAGCTGCCCCTGCCTTGGCAGGGGTGTTGGACTAGATGAACTCCTGAGGTCACTTCCAACCCTAACTATTCTGTGATTCTGTGACTGTTTGCATCTGGGGTGGTCTATAAACTCCCACCACAATATTTGCATAAATAAAATCCATTGTGGGTGCGTGACTGCGCCAGTGAGTTACCTCAGGCTCTTCCTGCAAGGTGGTGCTTAAAGGAAGCTGGTATCAGTTAAGCAAAGGTGAACATAAGGGCACAGCAAAGAATACAAGGTCACATTAAACAGCTGCAGAGTTGATAGCATTCAGGAGTATCTGTTGTTCACCCTAGGATGAATCACTTAGGATTGTCCCTACCCAGACAAGGTATAGATGTTACAGGCACGTGTAGGTGAAAGTTCTGTTTGCAGTTTTGCATCCCCTGTAAAATAAACACAGTTACAGCCCATGTTGTCCCAGCACTTTGCTGATCTCACCTCCGCTCCACGCTCCACCTCCCCACCAGTACCCCAACACCTGCACTTTCCCTCTGCAGCCTTCCCTCTCTTCCAGTGGGCATCAGGGGCTACCTGGCTTTTCCTCGGTTTCCAACCTTTATGTTCTTCACAGGTTAGATGGAGGAAAAATCAGCCTTTAAATCTGTTGCTGTTCTAGAAGAAGGGATATCAATACATCAGAGTGGTCAGTAGCCCAGACCTGAATAAACAGACAAAACTGTTGGCAGGTAGTACCATGTCAGCTGGTGAATCAGTTGCATATAAAATTTTTCTTACATCAACCAGCTCGTAGTAACTTATTTCAGAATCTTGGGAAACGTGTTTTGCTAAAGTTGGTTGTTGTTGTTTTTTTTCTTGTTTGTCTGGAAAACATTGGTGTTCACCTTAGAATTAATTCAAATTTGAGAAAATTAGGCAATCATGGAACTGAATAGAAGGCTGTATTCCCACAGAGAATTCAGAATAGGCTACATTAAAGGAATTATATATTTGCTTGATTATGCAATCCATCCCACAGACAAAAGTATTTTTCCAAATTGTACAATGTTAAGTGAGGACAAACAAAAAGAATAAAAACTAAATTATTTGATAAGTAAGCTTCTGAGTGAACAGTTTGACTATATATCGTGCAGCACCAACAATATTGTTGCTAGAAGCATTTTCTAAAGCAGAATCACTTCATCAGTCTCTGCAGGTATTTTCTCAAGAAGATTTCCTATTAACAAAAATCAAAACCAGATGGTCTGAAATGGACTTCACATTACAAATACACTGCAGCTATTTACCACCATTTATTACTATATTGTTTGCTCAGTGATTAATCCTGTATATTCACAGATGCGCAGTGAACAGCTGTAATATCTTTGCAAATATAATTTACATGGTATTTAGATTTTACTAGGGAGAGAAAGGGAAACCTGTCAATAGTGTAATAACAGGAAAATTTCCTTGTGAAGGTCATAAAATTATATTACGAAAACTGTCTCCACTATTAATATACCCTCTGTGGACAGGAACTCTCAACTATTAATAACAGTCTTCATTCCTATTGCCTAAAGGCCTCATGTATCTGGTCCTCTTTCACGAACATGCATCTCACAATATCACGTGATACTTTTTCCCCTTATCTGTGCGTTAAAAACTGTACGACAAAACAATATCGAGCACTGTGTTTCTCCTTAGTGACGTATGAAAATCAAAACTTAACAGTGTTTGTATGGTCCTTATATTTGTGGGTAAAAATATTCTTGGCACCATTTCAAGGGACAGATAAGAGCCCAGGACTGCAGTAGTGAAAACTTGATATATTGCAGTGTTCTGTATTATTTTTCACAATTAAAAAAAAAAAAAAATAGGTGGAAGCTGCAATATTATTTCATTCCTCTCATGCCATTCATTTTCTGTAGACTGTTCTTCTGACATTAATTTGCATAGCTATCGCTCTGTCCTTTTTAAATATGTATTAAGAATTTCCTCTCATAATATATGTTTAAACTGCTGAATGGTAATGGCTAGTGAACAGCACACTAATCAGTATGCTCTGTGATTAGTGTACCTTCTGCCTTCTTACTTAACCAATTAATCCTCTAATCTGTATATGCAGATAGGAATATATGCAACCTTATACATGCCTTACTGCCAATCCTATTTTTCCCTCTTCCTGATCCCTTCCTAGTTGTTTATACCCTTTCATTTTAGGGAATGGGCTTGATCTGGGCCTATCTTTCCCCTTAAAATGCATTTTTTCCCCAAACTTTGAATACTGTATACTCACTACTGCATTAAAGCTAGCAGTATATTACAACAGTATTAATATTGCTTGAAAAACCTCCATAAAGGTATGCCTGAAGTAACTGTAGTTATGTCATGTTAGTGTATCCTTTAGGTCATCTCTAGCTGTCTTCTGTGTTTAAACCATCTCCTATTTAGTAGAGAGGCTCCCAAAGATGCAGATCAACTTTGCAGTCTTACTGAGTAATAAGTAGTGATATCTGAAATGTAATATCAAATAATTATTGTCTCTGTACTCCAGGAAACTATGGTGAAGTTATTGTAGGGAACAATAAAGGCAGAAGGCTTATGGAAAAAATTGTGAAGACAGCTTGTAGTTTTCAATGTAAAATATAAGCTTAATTAGAATTTTTAAAAATAGGTATTTGTATCAGTAACTGTCATTTTTACTTTATATTGCCAGAACATTTTAGGATGACAGGAACAAAAAAATTCTGCTGGAATAATGCAAACATCTTGAATGCCTGCATTAGTACTAGCCTAACTCTCAGTAACTGGAATCACAATGTGTACTGTAATTAGATCTTACACATGTATAGGTTAATAAAAAGTATCTTCCTGTCCTATCTTCCTGTCCTATATTCTCCTGACCTTTCCATCCGTCCCCTGCATGGTTGTTTTGTGTTTGTTTGTTTGTTTTTAGTGGGAGCACTATGTATTTTCAGTGCATTCCTTCATATTCTGCTTTTCCAGTGATCCATCCTATGGTAGAAGATTGATTAGCATTTTCATCTCAGAATTTAAGCATGACTTTCATACTTATTCCCTTCTGTTCCTGGAGTTAGAATATAGGCAACATCAGACAGGATCAGAATCAGATAATGCCAGAACAGTAAGTGTTTTTGGAGTAGAATAAATACTTTACTAATAAAGTTACACTTGAAAAGGGAGATGAACAAATCTATCTACTGGAGCTGAATGGAATAGAGTTGGTGTAAAAGACAGATTATGACATGGATTCAGAATGTCTTTTGAAAAGTGAGACATCAGCAAAGGCTAAAATTCAGGTCAGCATCCTAGGAATGAAAATTACAATTTAATTGTAATTAAATAAGAGCTGGCTGAGGAGCTGACTGAAACTTTTGAAGTAAGTGACATGAAAGAAATTTTTAGCCAAAATTAAGTATTTTGCAAACCTCAGTTACAAGGAGGTATGCTGGTTTAAAAGTAAACCAGTGGGAAAAATGAACCCAACTCAAGAGAGATTATAAGTCAGAGTTACAATTTACTAAAAAGATTACAATAAATATAATGATACAGAAAAAAACAAACCCTGGGTTCAACCCCTCCAAAGACAGATGCATAACCCAGTACCCTGGGACAAGAGTAGGATGGTGTTCATTAGCCTCTGTGCTGAGCACCACGTGGCCCCCAATGGGTGCAAAGTAAAAGGAAAGGAAACCCTGTTGACCTGAGTGATGATCACAGTCTTGTCAAGAGTGGCAGTCACAGTCCTTTTGAAGTTCCGGTTCTCCTCTGGATCACAAGTGGTACCAGAAGTCCTAAACCCCAAAGTTTTATATATGCTCCATTTCAGGTGGGAACGCCCAGTACCTCCCCCAGGGAGGGGAGTTTCACAATGGGTTATTTAGCTCTGTGAGTCGTGGGATATTTTTGGAATCTTTGATGGTCTAGGTCGTTGCAGCTGCCTATTATGCCAGTGCGTTGTTGCCCATTAGCAGAGATGTCCCCTCAGGCTGGGTATGAAGGTGTTAATGCCTTTCCGGAGGGGAGTCATCACAGCTGAGTAATCAGTGTGAAAACAAAAGAACGCTCCCCTGCCTCAAAGGGTTTCTTTAACACCCAGCTTGTGCCCTAGGCAGCTGCTGCAAACAATCCATTTATTAACAGTCCATCAGAAATGACAGACAGGGTTGTAGAATACAGAGTTTTGGTTATACCCATATAGTGATAAACTGGTCCCAGGCCCTGTAACTAGTACACCCCCATACTGCCTTCTTCACCATTGAGAGCTGATTTACTCTTTAATTGATCATCTGCTTCTGAGTCACCAAGGAAAAAGAGGAAGAGCTGGCAGGTACAGTTCTAGCCTTCCATTTGCAATAGAAGCAAGAAATTATCAATATCATTTATGGTCAAGGAAGGAAGAAATATTAGCCATTTCTGTAAAGAAGAGTGCCTGCCAAGGCTTGTTAGAACCTTGAGCTGTGTTGGCCACTGGTTACCAGTGTTAATGTGGCCTCTACTGAACACAGCACCTGTTGGAAACCCAGTGCCACAGGCTGGAGAAGCAACCAGTGCTGTAAACAGTGCCATTGTCTATAGCCATAGAGGAGTGAGCTTCATGTAGCAAAGGTGTTTGATTTCCAGGGAACCACCTCCTGCCTTTGAATCACCCTCTGAGTGCCTCATTACTTTTTGGAAATATTCTCATGAGCATACAGGTAGGCTGCTCACCCCTTTTGGGTACAAATGGTGGTGAACTGAAGATAACCAGCCTCAGTCAGCACAGGAATTTGCACAGAACAGCTTCTCAACCACAAAGGGAAGCTCCTGCCCCTGAAGAAGCATAGGAAAGATGCAGAGCTAGGGCAGGAACAGTGGCTCACCTTTCTGCTATCACTACTAGCAAGAGTCTGGGAAGAGCAATCTGCAGCTGCTGACCATGCATCTTCACCTGGGTTTCCAGCGCTGACAGAGCAAGTTTAGCTGTTTTATCATCTTTGGAAATTTTCTGACCAAAGGAACTACCAGTCAGTCTCAGTTCCTGCAAGGTACAAGCTGCCGTAATTATTGGTGTACGCTGGAGGAGGAAGCACCAAAACCGCACAGGATTTAATAACAGAGAAACCTCTCAGAGGTGACTGAGCAGAAAGGATAAACCCTTCAGTAAAATAGTGCTTAAAAGGCAGTTTTCAAGATTGCAAGTGAAAATCTAGGCCTTTGTTTCCTAGAAACACTCAAGATGGGATCACATGACTTCACCTCCACATGTGTACAACAAAATCAGTCCTCCAGCCTTGCATAGTAAATATTCACTTGCCATAACTTAAAAAACCCCTGATAACGCAGACTCAAACGCATTCACATGCCTTCATAAACACTCTCACAGTAATGTTCTTGCCTGCAGTGCAAGAGTAGAACCGCAAAGAATGTCCTGTGAGAAGTGAGCAAAGATAAGGAGACAAGGAGCAAGGCTGAGTATTCTCACAGCATGCAGTAGCAGCACCTCTACAAAAGAGGAGGTGACCTTTACGTGGGAGGGGTGCGGGGCAGTCCCCATGTGGTCCCAAACAGGTTCTTTTACCTGGTGTGCAAGAAACCAACCCACAGAGTTGAGGTATTAGATGCATTTACAGTTCTGCACAGAAAGTGGTGCTTGGTGGCAAATCCACAAAGCCAGCATGACTACCGAAACTTTTCCCTATTTATACATTTTAGCAAGTGAAGGCATCAATGTTCACTGGCTACAAGTTACCTAGCTCTCTTTTTAACTAATATTCTATCTTATGTTGGTTAATGATCTCTCACTTCTCGTGCTAACTAGCTCACATGTTTTGTCTTTCTCTTCTTTTGGGTCAGTGGGTTTCGGGGGTCAGGGGTCTGTGAGTCGGTGGTCACGATCTTCCCCTGCTGGAATTACCTTATACCCAGTCAGAGGTGAAATCAGCACAGTTGCTGAGTTGTCTTCATTAGTTTCTTTCTTACCCTGGGAGTTCTGTCCAATGCCCCTATAGCCCGTAAATTCTACATTCTTTGGGTTCACTATCAGTGGGCCTCCTTCTCTTCGGTTTTGTTAACCTCCCCTGAGATCATTCAAACGCGTCGAGCCCTAAGCCTTAACAACGCAATTCCACCGACAGGTAATTTAGCTTTCCAACACGTGGACACCACTTAAAGAGTTCGCTTGTTAGCTGCCTACCTGTTTCACGGATTACATCCCCTTTGATGTCGATTAGGCTTGAAAGCACACCAAAATTAAACAGCAAAGAACATCCTTCCTTAGGAAAAGCTTTTTCAGGCGTTCCCCATTTCGCAGCAACACCCGCTCCCCAAGCGGGGCTGGGAAGAGGGGCGGGGGGGGGGGTAAAGTGGTGAGGGCAGCGTGCGGGCGCGCTCCCGCGGCGGCAGGCTCGCGCATGCGCGGCGGGTCCCCCCGCAGCGCGCTCCCCGCCTTTGTGAGGGGCGGGCGCGGCCCCGCCCCGCGCGCGGTGCCGGGCGCAGCCGGAGCGGCCGCGGCGGCGCCATTTTGCGGCGGTGCGGGAGGCGCGGGCGGGAGGCGGTGGCGGTAATAGCGGCAATAGCGGTGACGGCGGCGATAACAGCGGCCGTAGGTGCTGCTGCTGCTGCTAATCGGGACTAGCGTCCCCCTGTTCGCCCCAGCCCCGTGGCCAGGATTCTGCCGACATGAGCGACGTGGAGGAGAACAACTTCGAGGGGAGGGTGAGTGGCCGCCCCTGCGCGGGCCGTGCTGAGGGGGGAGCCGGGCCCGGGGGCGGGGGGTGGGGGCGCTCGGCGTCCTCCGGCCCGGCAGGGATGGGGGCAGCGCAGCTTGGCTCTAAAATGGCTCCTTCAGGCACCAGAGGTTCGCCTGGGCCGTGGGCGACGGCCCGCGTTCCCCTTCGCTTCCCGCGTTTCTCCGAAACGCTGCCTTGTCCCTTCGCCTCGCTGGGGTGCGGGCCCCGGTGCTGCGGGTCAGCCCCCGCCCGCCAGCGCAGGTTGTTTCTGTAAGAACGACGCTGCTGTACCCCCGGGGTTTCTGCCCGCTCTGCTGTTTCCCTCCCGCGATCTCCGGCCGCCCTGTCGCCCGCCGGGCCCTCAGGTCGCTGCCCTGCCCGTCCCCGCTTCCCGGGCCGCGGCCGGGCAGCCGAGGCCTCCTCCCGCCCGAAAGAGGAGGGACCCCGCGTCCCTTTGTGCGAGGTGCGCTGCTCCTCCTGGCTGCAGGAGCGGCCCCGGGCCGGGCCACCTCCGGTCATCGGGGAGGTCCGGCCGTCGCTGTTAAAGCAGTGAAACTCATCGATCGCACAGCTGAAGGGCTTCGCAGGAGCTGCTGTGGCTTTGTAACCTCGTTAGGCCTGTGTCTTTTTCCTCCGATGGCTGCGGGTTTTCATGTACACATGTGACAGGTCCATTCTTTTTTCAGTGGTTTTGAGGGGTTTTCTTGGGCATGATCGAGGCAAGCAGGAATTAGAAAGTGCTTGAAACGGGAATGAAACGTGTGCTCAGTCCTCCTCCATCACCATATACTTTTTCAAAGAAATTTGCAGAGATTTTTTGTGTGTGTGTGTTTTGATTCTTTAGAGGAACACCCGGGCATCCTCTTGGTGACTCTTTCTGATGAATCAATGACAGTAGCTTTTCAGTTATATGTAGTTACTGTCTGGAGAAACAAGCAGTGAAATTTTAGAAGAATAATGTCACATTCCAATAATTATTTTTACATGAGAATTGTTGCCGGTTTTGTGGTGTTAGATTAAAAAAAAAAATCCTTAGGGTGAAAGTTCTTTAGATGGGCGTGCAATGAATGCTACTGCTTCTTCGGGTGAGGTGAACCCTGTTCTTATGTTGATTGCTTGGACGAAAGGGCCTGTATAGCTAAGATC